GTTAATAAAACTCTTGTTTAAGAGGGAAACAAGCCTGTAATCACCTGGGGCCATTCAACACCCCAAAAGCCCAGATCCCATCTCAGTTTTCCCCCTTCACTGACTCGAGTAGTTTTAATTAAGTGAATTATGCTTTCCAGTCACCTGCCATTCTCTTTGGGAAAAGGCAACTCCATTACCAGCTCTCTGATCTGTCCTGTTCACTGATGTAAATGTTTCCTTCGCCTCCTGAGCAATCCAACTCCCCTGGACACCCCCACTGGTTCCAGTGCCCACAGCTCCTGCTGGCCACATCCATTACAACCATCCCCAGGGTGTGCCATTCACCTCCCACTGCTCACTCACTCATGGAATCACAGAATCATTAAGGTTGGAAAAGACCTTTAAGGTCATCGAGTCCAACTGCTCCTCCAGCACTGCCAAGGTCACCACTAACCCACGTCCCCAGGAGTCACTTCTACACAGCTTTTAAATCCCCCCCTGGGATGGGGAGTCCACCCCTGCCCTGGGCAGCTGTGCCAGGGCTGGACAGCCCTTTTGGTGAAGAAATGTTTCCTATTATCCAATCTAAACCTCCCCTGGCCCAGCTTGAGGCCATTTCCCCTTGCCCTGTCCCTGTTCCCTGGGAGCAGAGCCCGAGACACCCCCCAGCTCCCCCCTCCTGTCAGGGAGTTGCAGAGCCAGAAGGTCCCCCCTGAACCTCCTTACCTCCAGGCTGAGCCCCCCCAGCTCCCTCAGCTGCTCCTGCTGCTCCAGACCCTTCCCCAGCTCCGTTCCCTTCCCTGGACACACTCCAGCCCCTCGTTATCTCTGTCTCTGTGAGGGGCCCAAAACTGACCCCAGGATTTGAGGCTTGGCCTCACCAGTGTCCAACACAGGGGACAGTCACTGACCTGGTCCTGCTGCCACACCAGTGCTGATACATATCCCATAGTCCTGATGTTTACATAGGAATGTGACTCATGAAATGCCCTTTTCTCCTCTCCCCCCACTCTCCTTGACCATCTTCTGTATCTCAACACAGAGTTGAGGAAGCCAGGGCAGCACCCACCATCCAAACTGGATTTACTCTCCACCTCCGTGGTTCTTCCTTAATAACTCTGCACAGCAGTTTTGGGTGCAACAACAAAAGAAGAACAAAACTGTAGCTGTTAGCAGAAACTATTTTGGTTTAGAAAATAGCTGAGGTTTGTGAAGATGCTCAGGTACCAAGAGGTTTACAGTTATTTAAGCTTAAACAGATAAATTCAGATGTTGGCATTTATAATCTTCCATAGAGAAGTAATGATACTGTTTAATCAAGAGGTCAAAAGGAATTTAAACTTGTTCCATTTTCTTCTCTTTGCCCCTTTTTAATAATTCAGCATAGAGCCCAGCAGGTAATAGATTGTAAAAGATGGATGGAAAACTAGATATTCATGTGGAATATATACTTCACGAAATGTAAGTGAGAAATTAAGATTAAAAATGTTCCTGTCTTCAGCAGAAACAAGACTAATCTTTTCATTTTTAACTTACCTTGTATTTATGAGACATCAGCTGCAGACAGTGAAGGAAATTGCAGCATTCCCTGAAAAGCAGCGTTAGCAGGTTCTGACAGCTTGTTAAAAGCTGTGACCAAAGGGAGGGTGATGCACATCCATCACCCGTGACAAGGACCCCATGGAGCCTGGCCAGGGTTTCCCCATGGCCATGCTCTGAGGTGGGTCCTGTGGCTCTCAGTGGGCCTCTTCACACGCTCCTCCAGCTGCCCAAGGGATGTAAATGCTGGTCACTCACAAAAATAAACACATTTAAGTCCCACGACTCCACTCTGCGTCCTCCCACAGTTGAAGCCTGACTTCATGTGTAACATGGATTTTCCAGCACTTAGAATTCAATTTCTTGCCAGATGATGGATGTAGAGGCCCAAAACAATGGAGCCAGTAGAAGGTACAGTCCACAGTGATGAAATCACGAGATCATATTCCATCCTTGGGATGCTCTAGGCACGAAACATGGCTTTGAACACCGAGCCTGAGAGGTTTGGATTTCTACTTATAATTGTCATCCATGAGCATAGCCCAGGATTTACATTTCATTAATAATCCTAAAATATCCCTTTCATATGTGGCACATGGTGGAAATACATAACTCTGGAGATTACCTGGAGCAGCCTCCTGCTGAAAGCAGGGCCTTAGATTAGGTTATCCAGGTCTGTGCAAAGCCAAGCCTTGAATGCTTGGATTTGAACACGAAATAGTATGAATAATCCTGTAAGTAGAGTTATCATTACTTTAGTGAAGTCACACACACACACACAAAAAAAAAAATTAAGGAAAATGACATTCCAAAGAGGCCATGACTCAACTGGCCCTTTGGGAGACAGCAAACCTGGCCCCAGTACCTGTAAAGCAGAGAAGTATTTGGGTGCTCATTCCAATTCAGATCCTAATAAAGCAGCCTGTACATCCTGGAAACTACATTTACAGATTTCATACACAGAAGTGTAGACTTGAAAGTAATTTTTCTTCTTTTTTTTTTTTTTTTTTTTTTAAACCATGGTGATGTTATTACCACTTGTATTTCTGCTGGCAGGAAGGTATTGCCTCCAGCTGCAAACCAATATAAACTCCAACTTTCTGGGTCATCAGAAATATGATGGACAAAGTGCTCTCTGCAGTTCCTTCAGCCAATAAGATAACCATGTTAAAGCACTAACATGGTGTCAAAAGTTGTTTGCTGCCCCTTCGTTGCTAGTTCTTCCTTCTTTTTAAACATTTCATTTCACAAACATTTAATTGCATAAACATTTCGCAGATTAAAGCTTAACATGAGGGGATTTGAGCTAGTAAATACTGGAGGAAAAAATAACTAAAATAATTGGGAGTATGTTGTTGTATGAAATTTCTTCCCCAGAAAGGTGGAGTCCCCATCCCTGCAGGGATTTAAAGCCGTGTGGATGTGGCACTTGGGGACATGGGGTAGTGGTGGGCTTGGCAGTGCTGGGGGATGGTTGGACTTGAAGGCCTTTTCCAACCTTAATGATTCTATGATTAATCTCGTATTAATCACTTCTCTCCCCCATTTCTCCCAGAACTAAAGGGGTTGAATGAAAACACTTTTTTTTCTTTCCTCCCAGGTTAAAATCACACCAATTGCCTCTCATTTTAACGAGCAGTGTGGATGTCTCGTGTGTTCAACCAGGTTTCTCATGATTGTCACATTTAATGGTTGATGGCAGTGCAAGAGCTCATTACTTCAGTGATCCTGGGGAGAAAGGCTGTTGTTTTCCAGCATTATTCTGGTTGTTTATACAAATTTCACACAGGAAAGTTGTAGTAAGCTGATAAACACCTTCTTATATGTTACAAAGGGTTTGAGCAAGAGGAATATATATCTTTACGTTCTACATTATGGCTCACACAAAAGGTGGAAGCAGTTAAAAAGGTAACACTTCCCATGTTTATTTACACCTATATTCTTGTGTACACAAATGGTGGAAGTCCTTTTTCAGAAACCAGTATTTCTCAGCTTCTTACCTCACTGATTTCCTCTTTTCAGTAAAACTGTGGAACCGTGGGCAGTGCCCCATTTCACTTTCTAATTGCTTCTGGTAAAAGTGATTCTTCCATGGCCACCATGGTATCACCCAGCCCAGGGAAGGCTCAGTGTTATTTTAATCCTTGTTTCTGTGGTGTATCACAGAGACACCTTAGATGGTTTTGAACAAAGCCTTGAACACCTAACACTCCCAATGGAAACTTCAGGAGGACATTGTTATTTGAAATTAGGATGTATGCATTGAAAAGCTTAGTTTGATGCTGTCATCCATTTACATTTCTCCCTCCAACCCTTTAGCACTGGTCGGCATCTTCCCTCTCCTGCTTCCCACTGTGCCATCTCCCCCAAAAAAACACACAAGCAGGATTATGCTTAGAAACACAGAGGAATATTTTCTCTCAGGTGCTGCTCCTGCACCTCTGTGGCTGCAGGATCAGGGTCATTGATTTCAGACACAGGAAAGGGAGAGCAGCATTAACTTCAAGGAGTTTGTACCTTGCCCAGCCCTCAAGACAAGATGCAGCTTCTCATCTCTCCCTTTTTTTTTCCCATCTGCACACTGGGAAGATGAAGCTACAGAGGAATCTTAGGAAGTAGCTTATGTTCATACACTGCCCCTTGGATCAAAAAGACCATATAAGAACAAGGTAATTGCAATTAAATGTAGCCCAAGGTCGTGGGACAGATGGGGAGGGGGGTAAGTTTTAATCATCGTGCTTTTGCTAAAAAACAGACTTGCTCATTGACATTCTTCCCATCCACCTCCCCTTCCTGGAAAGTCAATAAACTCAGCTGTGGTTATCCAAGTGTGTTGGAAAACAGCTGCACTGTAAAATGCCCAGTGCAGCAGGAGCTGTATCACCCTGGGCACCAAGCAATCCCCATGGTACCTCTCCCTTCCCCAAGAGCAATGTTGCAGAGGAAATTTTATGCTTGCAAAATGCTTGGAAATGTGGGAAATAAATATGTTCAAGATCTGCAAACCATTTACCTGGATCCACTAGTTATAAAGCTCTGGGCTTGTTACTGTAGCCTTCAAAAAAAAAAGCTGAAAAGAAGATCATTTTTAATTGCAAGGAACACAAAACTGAGCTCAGTGTAATCATCTTCTTAATTTCACACCTTGAAATTCAGCCCTTATTCAAAGAAAGACCTAATTATTTTCAGGGGATAAGCACTTGCCTGTTGCTAAGAGAAAAAAAATACATTACAGTAATAAATGGTTAAAAATAGAGGTTTAGTGCAGAAAACACAGGTAGAATTTTCCCAATCAGCTGATGGGCAGCATGGCAAATATTCATGGCAGTCCTGGAACTGAAAGCTGGGCTGTGCTCTGACTCACTGTGCCTTTGTAGAAACAAGCAGTACTATTATCTGCTCACACAAAATCACTGTGGTGGGTCTGTTCCAGCCTGAACCTCTGCTCCACCACACTGAGGTTTATGGAAATTACTTACCTGGCTCATCACTTGAATTAGGAAGTTGGAGGGAAAACAGAGCGTGAGAGCTGCCTGAATGCTCATCCTCTTCCTTCTTTGCTGCTACTACGTTATTATGTCCTCTGGGTATATCCACAAATGCTGGAAGTTCTGAGATGAGGACACTTTGCAAAGGGTACTTGCTACCCAAACAGCCTTCCTTTGTTTTCACTTTATTAATTACCTTATTTTCTGTGAAGTCTACACTCAAGTCTGATCTGAGTGGAGTCTTGTTTGCTCCTGGGAGCTTTGCTGGAGCTGTCTCCTCCATGGGCTCTCCATTAGCTATGCCATCTACTCCATCTGCTGTTAATCTGGACAAACTGCACTTTATGTCGAAGGACAACGTGGATCTATACGTTTTTTGGCATTTAATTCGAGGTTGGTCCATGCACACACTGAGGGACTTGTCTAAATAATAGATGGTGCGTGGGCACCGCTGAGAAACCTGGAGGTGGACACATGAGAGGAATGAGGGTGGTGCTTGCTCCCTCCCATCACTGCTTTGAAGGCCCACGCCAGTCTCCTTGAGTCCAAGGTCAAAAAGCTGCTTTTGTGGCTCTTCACCTGATTTTGGGCAAGACTCACAAACCTTTCCTGGAGAGGCACGTTGGGGTGTGTGGCCTGGTGGAGGCCACTGAGGGAGGACAGCAGGGACCCTGCTGGAGGTGGGGGACACAGTGCTGGGGTCCCGCACAGCCCCAGGGCCACACGCTGGGTCCCCAGAGCCCACAGCCACACGTCTGGCTGTCACAGTTATGGAGGCAAACCCGTTCTGCTGCTTTGGACGCCGTTTTTCCCCTGTGACGTGAGAGTCCGATGGTGACTCGGTGTCTTCTAAAGAGGCCTGAACCTCCAGTCTGCTGGGAAGTACCAGAAATGCTCTGGTGACCTTGACTGACCCATGGTTAGACAGAGATTGCTTCGTGTGACAAGCGCTGGGCTGGGGGATCGTGGACTGCATAGGCAAAGCAGGCTGATTTCCTCTGGATGTATTCCCATCGATCATCTGGGAAATGATTACCGGTGAAATCAACGCAGTGTTTTGCGAAGACAGAGATTCCTGCAAATGAAAAGATTCAAATTATCAACATGCTCTATGTGCAACTGTTTCTCATCTACCAGCTATCACACCAGACAGTTTTGTTCAAGGTCTCTTGTTAACTTTCTATTCATATTATTTTTTTTTTGGTCACTTAAGAACACATGCTCTTGAAATCAGCTCTGAATTGTCTTGGAGGCTTCAATGAAAACCTTATCACTGGTGGAAAAGAAATATTAAAGTGTAAATTGTGCATTTCATACTATTATTTTGAGTATTTATTCTGTTGCCACATTTGGGACTTGTAGCTGTTTAAAAATGGACATGGCAAAGGCAAGTGCCAGTTGCAGACTCTAAACCTCTCTTTCGTGATGGTCTGCTGGAATTTGAAACGTATTTAAATATATTATGGATCATTAACTGATGGTCCATGCATGACATCACATGCTGCAGAGAACCTGTGGGCATGAAGATCATTACAGCTCTACAACCTCACCAGTTACAAGCATGAAAAAACTTCTCCATGATCCCTCCCACAAAAGTGGTACAGTTACCTAGATAAGAGTTCTGGGTACTATTTTAATTAACTAGTTCTCTCTTGCTTATGATTACTTGGTGATACCTACCAATGATATAAGAACATCTATGTCCAAGATTGACTGACAGTGGCCCAGAGATTGAAAGTGGCTCAGATTAATTTTCCCTCCACGACAGCAAACCTCTGTCTTGATATTCCATATGTTACTTCACTTGAGGTGTCAAAGGAGGTGCTTTCATGTTCCAGCTCTCTGACAAAGAGTAAACCTGAGTTTAAAACCTCCTGCTATTACTATCCACATGGCTGGTCACATAAGTCACATGCAATAAAGCATCTGGCCTAATCTCATTGCTGCTGTAAACTGGCTGATTAGATTGCTCCTGCCCTGTGCTCCCAGATCTTTTGATCCCAACAGAAATAAAAAACCCAAACAGTGAATTGGCATGCAGGATCTGAGGAGCAGCTCCATGATGAAAGTTCATCCCATGTTTAGGTGCCATTTACTCCTGCTGGTTATGAGTTCACTCCAGTCCTATCTGGGTATCTCCCATCTGATGATCAGTGCCAGGGCTCAACAAGGGCTTCCCAGAACACAACATTATTCAGACTATGAGTGTGGCAGTGCTGTGACCTCCCAGGTACCAGGGTCATCCTTGTCAGGGCTTTGGTGCCAGAGCTGGGACACTGCACCAAACGACACGGGGAGATGGTCTTTAAGGACCCTTCCAACCCAACCCTGAGATCCTATGGAAGCATTCCTGTGTTCCTGTCCTCTGTGCAGGGAAACACCACCAAAACTGGGCTCCTCTGTAACTCTTTGGAAGGAGCTGATTGGGAAACCAAATGGGTAGAAGTAGATCAAGCGTTTATTAATGAGGTGAAATGCCAAATAAATTTTATCAACTCTTTAAACCAGCTGCCTGTGGTTTTGACAATTCAATAATTTCACAGCCCCAGGGAAAGCATTTTCTTCCTTCTCTGTTTCTTTCATGGTTTGTAACAACATTTCCCTCATATTTTCTGCACTTCATTTACTTCTGCCTCCAGGTTTAAGACCTTTGCCTGCCTTCCAAAACTCTCGCCTTCCCCAAGATTTCTACAGGGCACCCAAGAAGAATGTTCCTTGAGAGACTTTATTTTGGATGCATCTCTCATGCTCCAGTAGTTAATTTGACATTTATTCCTTTTGTTAAGGGCTGCACAGATGGAGACATCCTGCAAGAATCCAAAGGCATGTCAAAAACGCTCCTGATTAGCTACAAACTCCTGCACCAATATGTTAAATAATTTACTTCTCCTTTTTCTGCTGGAACATATGTACTATTTCCTCCTCCCAATCCTTGGCAAAGAAACGGATCCCTAAGGTTTGCCCAGCAGATCCTTTGCTCATTGGGAGCTTTCAAGCTTCCCTGCACCCCGTGAGAAAAATCCGCACTTGCACAAAGCAATTGTGGTGAGCTGAACACCTCAGGCTTAATCCTGAGAACATCTCAGGCAGAGTGTGCTGATATTTGGGATGCCACTTGATTTGGTCTCCCGGGGTGTTTTTAACAGCTTCTTTTCCCCAACAAAACACGCCACTTTGCCCCCTGACCAAGAACTCACAGAACCACGACACTTGGCCATCATTTTACTCGGCTTTTCTGCTGCCCAAGCTAAGCCTAGCTAAACAAAACCAAGTCCAAACACACTGCTCAGCAATCAGTGATTGTTTTCCGAACCCTCACGCGTTCTGCTGACTGCTATCCAAACAGGATTTATTTATTTCACCTGGGCAGAGCTCGCTGCTCCCCCCCCAGCACTCTCCTGCTGAAGGCCTGCGCATGTCCTGCGACCGTCAGTGCTCCATCGCTTCTGTGACACCCCTGGGGAGAAGCACAGAGAAAGGAACATTATTTCCAGTGTTCTGGAGGAGATGGCTTAGAAAATGTGCTTTTAAATGGAGTGAAAGCAGGAGGGAAAAGAGCTCCTGTAAATGATCTGGTTGCCCTGGGATCTGTTTCTGCCCCTTCGCAAGAGAGGCACTTGAAACGCCCCTGGGATCCTGTTGCAGGGATGTGGACAGTCTAACAGTGTGTTCAGGGCTGATCCAAAGCTCCAGTATCTCTGCTTTTGATTTCCATAGCTTCAGGCATGAGTGTGGAGGGATCAGGAAAGATGGGAAAGGCAGATTCCCACAAACATCCCTTTTGTGCTGTCTGCAGAACAGGGAGCAGCACAAACCAGCCCAGGAACGGGCTGGACACTGTGAGCTTGATTTCATTTGCAATAAGTCACCTTCACATTTAAAGAACTGCAGTAATTTCAAGCCATATTCACCAATTCTATTACATCAGAACGTCTCCAGTTCAGGGTAACTATTACACCAGTACATCAGCCTCTGCTATTGTTATTTTTTTGTTTTCTGTGAGCTCTACTCTCTCTGCAGCATTTTTACATGGAGCTAATTTCCATTTAACACACAGGCTGGGCCATTCCAATGATGCATTACGTCTGCTGTCAACCCCTCTGCCAGAAATTACGTTACTTTCTATTTTCTATCAAGCATCCAAAATTAATTTTCAGAAATTCCCCATTTGGACTGAAATCTCTTGGTATTCCTGGCTGTTGCTTTACAGCAACATGTCACACCGCTGCTAAGCGCTTTTGTATTGTTTTGCTTTCACCTAGAGAGCCTGCCACAGAAGTTTTTTGCTAAGCAGAATTTCAGTTTACATGTAACATTGCACTAACAAAGGAATATAACCCAGCTCTGTGTTTTTTAAAACATACTCACCATAAGAGGCTTCATGGCTTTGTCTCCTTGGGTGAAGGGAAGAGGGGAAAGAAGAGATCAAGAGATCTCCTTCAGTCCCACCACACCTCAAAACACTTCCAGGATGTTTGATGAACCTTTTTTTTATTAAAGTACGCTAAAATATCCTTTAACACTTCACTAGCACAACTGCAAGATGCCAATGACACTGTGTTTATCCACAGCTGGCATGAAAAAAGAGGTTGTTTTTTGTCACTGAGCAACAGAGAGTCCTGAGCAGCAGAGCAAACAGCTGGACTCATTAACCACAGTGTGGGGAAAAAAGAGAATCCAGAAAATAGCCAGAGCAGAGGGCCCACTACACGTTTTTTGGCAAAGAAATAATGCAGAGTCGCAATCGGTGAACCTGATCTAACGCCGGTAACTGCTGGCACCAACCCTGGGCGAGAGGCCCTTGGAGCACCTCATCTTGGGGGGCACAGAGAGGAGCATAAAAACAGCAAGGGAGAAAAATCCATCAGTGGTCACAAGCAGTGGGATAGGGGTAACTGCTGGGGGGAGCCTTGGGGAAGGGTTATTTTCAATGTGTCAGTAATGTGATGAGTTACATGTGAACACCTTCACGATGAGGAGCTGCTACACCTGCTGTCTTATTTACTTCTTAAAACAACTAAATAGAGAATAACTAGCAGGGAAAGATAAAGAAGGAATTCTTGGATTGGGTTATGACAAGACCTTAGAAAATCCAAAATTTTGATTAAAACCCCCTATATAATAAAGCAACAAATTCCACTGAGTTATCAATGTTTTCCTCAAAGGCTTTACAGTAAGAAACCCACAGTTGTCTCTGATCAAGCAGGAAACTACAACAGGAGAACATCAACTTGTGAATGTCAACCAGTGCATAAGGAAATCCAGAGGGCTGGCCAGAGATAAATCAGATCCAGACAGGCTTCTTTTACCAGATGGCCTTTCATGAATTTCATTCAAATGTATTTCCAGCAAAAAGACTGACACTACAGGGCCAAAGAAGAACAAGTTGTCAAAGTCCACACTGCAGATTGCATAGAACAGGAAAATTATTCTTATCAAAGTAATCTCCTATGATTAGCAATAATCTGTAGATAGAAACTTCCAATTTCCCACAGATCCCTTGGAAGAGATTGGTTAATTCTTGCTTATCTAACTTTAAAAAGTAGCTGTTTCTGGAGCAGGAAAGATGGGAATAATTGAGGTGGGAAGAAGAAGAGAAGGAAATATTTATTTTCTTTTCTAAATCATTCACAGTGGAGTTTTGCATTGCCTTTTGTACTATATCCTGTGCAATGACATTGTCATATTACTATAGGAATTCTATTGTTGGAAAACACTCAAACTTTTGGCAAGTCATTTAATCTCATTGCTGAGACAGATTAAATGGCATTGGTGGCAAAAGCACCAGTATTTTTCCTGATATTATTAAATCTACTCCTGGAAGCTTCACGTCTGTTAATTCATGTCACCAGAACAAGCAAAGGAAAAAAAAAAAAAACAACAACCAAAACTAAACCTTTAAAAAGAGCTTGAATCTGTGTTTGAAAGGAAGACACTACAGGGAGCACAAGGCTTTAGCTGAGATGTGTCACATCCCAGGTTTGCAAATTCTCCTTGCTGACAAAACACATTGCACTGGAACCCTCGTTACACAATGGAACGCAAAGTTCAGCTTCTCCCTGGTGCGAAAGCACGAAAGAAATGGCATTTCAAGCACTTTCCATCTCTGTGGGGAGCACGAGAAACTTATTTCTATCCAAGCTGAAATCCCATGGATTTGTTTAACCTCCCCAGACCTTCCCTTCCCACCGTGATCCACCTCTCCAACTCACGCACGGGAGATGAAACGAGGAATAGACAAAGCAACTGCTGGCACGTGACCTTTGTCCCGTTACATCTTCCCTCTTTTTCTTTTTTATTTTTTTTTTTTCCCCCCCTCAAAACACTGGCTGTTGAACCAAGTGATAGGCTCCTTGGCAAGGCATCTGGACATCCGGCTCCGGACCAGGGTTTTCCTAATTACAGAGTGCAGCTGGAACCGATTCTCCCAGTCTCGAGTGCCTGGATTTCTGCCTCGGGCCAACTGGCAGCCGGCTCGGATAATGATTCAGAAAAGATGTACTTGTAAATCAGCTTGCTGAAACACAGATCGATTGCAAAGGTGAGGGTGCTGCTGAAAAACGGCGTCCTCCGAATATTTGGCATGCACGGGACAGCCCAGTGTGGAGCCAGCTGAGGTTTAGTGCAAAACTTGAGACACACAGAGAAACAGGCCATGGAAAATGCTGGTTTACCAGTGCTTCAGGTGTTTTCTAGACACAGACAGACTGCCCTGCTGGGGGATGTTGTTCGATGATAAACTACCTACAAGGAAGATATTGAGGGGCTGGAGCGTGTCCAGGGAAAGGAACAGAGCTGGGGAAGGGTCTGGAGCAGCAGGAGCAGCTGAGGGAGTGGGGGGGGTTCAGCCTGGAGAAAAGGAGGCTCAGGGGGGACCTTCTGGCTCTGCAACTCCCTGACAGGAGGGGGGAGCTGGAGTGGGGGAGGTCGGGCTCTGCTCCCAGAGAACAATGGACAGGACAAGAGGAAACAGCCCCAAGTTGCATCAGGGGAGGGTTAGATTAGAGTTTAGGGAGAATTTCTTGAGCAAAAGGGTTGTCAAGCACTGGAACAGGCTGCCTGGGGAAGCAGTGATATCACCATTCCTGGAAGTGTTCAGAAAAACCTGTGGAGTGGCCCCTGGGGATGTGGGTTAGTGATGGGCTTGGCAGTGCTGGGGGAACAGTTGAACTTGACCTTAGAGGGTTTTTGCAACCTAAAGAGTTCCATGATTGACACCCAGAGTGACACTGGGCAGAGATGGAATGACTTCAGACCACTGGCCCTGGCCTCATCTCCGGTTTTTGTCATGAAAGCTGCATATTCCGTTCATTTACTATTCATGTGCTGACAAATTTCAAATGTGTGTCAGCACTTCTGGTCTCTCTGCTCTGCTCCAAGCCCTGCTTGCTCTGCCCCACTCATGTCCCCCATCCCTCTGAGACACCAGCATCACCTCCCAGTCAACTCCTCCAGAGCATCCAGGAACCTCCAGCACTTCCCTCAAAACACCATAAAACAGCACTGCAGAAGACAAACACTCTATGAAAAGAGGAAAACTTCTCCACTTGACAGAAAAATTCTCTTTTTGGTTGATCTTAGATGAGCATCTATGAGAATGGTGAAGGGAGTTGGGCTCCCTCCCATGTCCATGGCAGCCAGGATTCCTACAGCCCCCTAGTCAGCACTGTTGATTATCCAAAAATGCTCAAATTCCCCACTTGGAACCTGGAAGCGAAAGGACACCAATGCTGCAGGGTCAGCCATCAGAGCAACCACTCTGTTAATACAATGTCTTTAACATCATTAAACCTTCCTTTTAAAGCCCTTTTCTCCTTCTGTGCATTATTCTTACTGGAGGAAGTAAGTTATACTTCCTTCTGTTTAAAACATTAGAACTGTTCAAATTTCCTCGTGACTTTTTTAATTCAAATACCTGAGGAAGCCTTGAGGACAAAAGTGTCATCATTAAAGATTCATCACTCTCCCCTCAGAAAGGGCTGGGAGAGATCATCACTCGCTCCCTCAGATCTGAAGTGAGTCATCCAGAGAAACCATCCGGACATTTCGGATACATCTGAGATGAAAGCCAAGGCAGAACGAACACCGGAACCGAATCCATGTCTTCTGGTCGTCTTCATGTGTCATAAAGAAGGAACGTCATAAAACTGCAGAGACTGCTGTCATCTAAAATAGAACTGAACAGTGAAGCTGAAGTTCACATGCTTGATATTAAAAGTAGAGGTGGATAAATGCTGAAAATTCCAACTTTTATCTGAATCCCCGATGATATCAAATCAATTTATATGGTATCTACCAGCAAACGTTGTGTTTACTTGTTAGTAGAGACAGTGATGCATCTCCAGAAAGCCTTGGAACAGGTTTGGGTTGGAAGGGACCTTGAACACCATCTCATTCCACCCCCTGCCACGGGCAGGGACACCTTCCACTAGCCCAGGCTGCTCCAAGCCCCGTCCA